AAGAGAGGGAGAGAGAGGGAGAGAGAGGGAGAGAGAGAGAGAGAGAGAGAGAGAGAGAGAGAGAGAGAGAGAGAGAGAGAGAGAGAGAGAGATTAAGCATCCGTTCCGCGGAACGACAACAATGATTCGCGGAAGGATTGCTGTGCCGCTGGAGTAGGCGAGGAACGGGGAGAGGAGAACCCCCTCACAAAAACGAAGCGGAAAAACGAGATTCCGTTTTCTCCGCAAGAAGAAGAAACAGATTCGTTTTGGGCCTCGAAGAGAGAGATTCGTTTTTCGATCCGTAGCGAGAAGAACCGCTTTCCGCTCGACGAGGAGCGTATCGTTTAGTATTTGTGAGAGGAACGTTTTTTGGTGTTCCGACGGCTAATAGCGATCAGTACCGTACTGCTGTCGCATTTTGAAAGTTTCGATCTCGATCGGGGATTAGCGAGTGGAGTGCAGTGCAGTGCATTGCAACCTCGAGCCAGACGAGACACGCGGAGGAGAGGAGCTACCTTCGACCTCAACCCCGGACCGACCCGCCCGAGGACCGTCGAGAGCCACGCCGCCGGGAGGTCCCCGAAATTGTAAGGCCGTCCAACTGCTCTAGTTGTTCGGCGTCTCGCTTTCGTGTCGTGTCCCGCAAACTTATTGTGCGAGCGAGCAGTGTCGATTCCGCGGAATTAACGCGACGGGTATTTGTAATGGCCCGCGGGGTCAAGGAGCGTGTCGAGTCCCGAGACAGAATAAATCACGATATCGTTTAAAATACCGCATTCTTTTGGTTTCTCACCCGTTCCCGAATTTCCGACCGAACCTCCCCTACTACAAACTTAAAATCTCGAGGAGCTGCCGGTCCCGTCGGATTCTCGCGTCGCGGTCATTCGGCTGTTTTTTTGTGTTGGTGATCGATGCGGCTATCCGCACCTGGCGTCCAACTTAGCATATCGCTTGGTGTGTAGGACCGTGACGCGTGGACCGACGGCAATTTGTCGGCGTGTAGAAATAAGCGTCGCAATATATATATATATATATATATATATAAGACCTGTTCTTTTTCCCTGCACTGCTGCACTGATGCAATAAGTTAGAGTGAGAAATATATATTTGTTTCACTCTAACTTATTGCATTAATGCTGCAGTGCAGCGAAAAAGAACAGGCCTTTTTTTTTTTTATTTTGTGCTTTCTTTCCCCATTTTTCTCCAACGAAACCCAAAACCCGTCGCTCGGTTTCTAAGAGGGGAGTTTGTACCCCCTGTAACGCGTCTCGCGCTGACTGTCGCGATGGCGTCTTAGCGTTTTGACGCCGCGCGACGGTCAGCGCGAGACGCGTTATCGCTCAGCCCCTACGCATACAGCTTGCCGCGGAGCGTCTATAGGCCGCGTGGAAAACGTCAAACTTTACGCGGTTATTACTAAAAAACTATTACGATTTTCACATTATGGTATTTTTTGTTCCTCTCACTTAGCTCTATGTCCCTACGGAGCCCGTGTCCCAAAGTTCTGAGACTCTGTAGATAAGATTCACGGTTTTTTTGCAATTTAAATTATTAATAGTATATTTAACAAACATTAATATATTTAAGAAACGCAGTTTTATTACTTATTAATGTTTTCTGTTTCGTTTTTATGCTTACAGAATAAAAAAAACTATAGCAGCAGGGAGATCGAACCTCAGCCCGTTAGCTCGGTAGTCCGTTACTGTAAGATATCAGATCGCGGGAACGGGTTAGTGTTGCCATCTGTGGTAAGCAACATTCCCAACAATATTAGCAATAATAACCGCGTGACCTCTGACGAGGTATAGATATGTATATATGCGGAGACGAGAGTGGACGAGGAGATTATTATCTTGTCTTTTGGTGACATTATTATTATTATCTTGTCTTTTGGTGATAGAGATTATTATTATCTTGTCTTTTGGTGATTGAGATATTATATTAGCGAAGATTGGATCGAAGAGTGTTTTGAGTTATTCGAGCTCTTTAGCTTCTCGGCGCATAGCCTTATCGTTCCATTTGAGGTGCGCTTTCGACCATTGTCGATTATTAATACGTTTCTGACATCGTCCGCTGCGCTCTGCATTTAACGGTGTGTAATTGTAATCCGTGAGATTCGAGACTGTTGGAGAATTGGAAGTCTGTGCTGCCGAACATTGGTCACCGTCAGGCGAGTGCCTGAGTGACCGTTGACAGACGTGGCTCACACACGACTGGAGAAGATAGCCGTGTCTCAAAAATGTAAAGAGGTACAGATTAATAAAGTTCTATATGTTATTGTTAACGGATCATTCTGACAAAGTAAAAGTACCATTCGAATATAGCTTCGCAATCTTACAGTTACCTTCGCTGCTGCGCTACGCCGCTTCGTTGAATACCCTTCTTATTAACTCGTACACTTTGTTGGCTCTTTTCTTTAGACCGTTTTTTCTCGAAAACGAAGAGGTATTGCCATTACCGTCATATGCTATTACCATGAATTATTAGTAGTCAAGTATTATTAACTCCGTAAGTTCCGTTCCAAATCGTTTCCTGGTCGATGCGTTCTCCCCTTGTTAGACGCGGTACGGCGAGACGTAGGAGCGGCGAAATAAGGACGTGAGCATCGGCGCATTGTCCCTCTCTCGCCGCGCGCCGGCAACAATTCCTGTGTCGACTGGGCTCTAGCCTGAGCGGCTTGATGTTCTTCCTGTAATGTCTCGGCGCGCGCTCATTCCCGAGATTTCTGTCATTAATAATCCGATAATTATTGCGAATCTCATAAAACGGTATGGGACTTTTATATTTATCTTAACCCGCTCTATGTCTCCACGAGCTCTGCGACATTAGTTATAAGACACCCTGTAGATATCATTTTTTGTGATAAGGTTCGCCATATTGGATCAATCATCTTGAATTTTTTTTTGGAGAAATTTGACTTTAGATTCGTAATTAACGACCCAAAAAATCTTAGGATATGTTATCTTGAGTTTTCAAAGTATCAAAAACATTGTGCTTTGACGAACATAAGTTTTATCGCTGATGAACTTTGGCCCTCTCTATCTCAGAAACCAATTGTCACCTCAAAATAAAAATTTTCGAGGATTTATAATCTCATTATAAGGTTTGACATTAGATTTACTTAAAAAATCGAAGGCCCTAAAACAACTAATTTTTTGGTCACTCTTTCCCCGATCTAACAACGAATTAATCACTGATATATTAAAATTAAATGCAAATATTAACACATAAAAATTAATATAGTTGTTTAATAAATGAATTCAAGGTTACTGTAATTTATTTCAAACGTGTTATAAATTATCATACAAATACAATAGAGCATAATCGTAATATATTATAAATGTTAAACAATCCTGAGAGTAATTACTCTACGTAAGAGACAATTGTAATGAATTTTCAATATCCTCTGTCGTTTTAATATCGAGAGAATCACTGGAACGAATCGCAATAATATATAATATAGAATGCAATAGTAAATATATATATATATATATATGTATATATAAACAAACCATATAATACGGAAGAGGGACGAAGGAGGCTGACAGGGATATTAATCGCCTATTTATATACCATTGCTCCTTAATAAAACGTCATAAACTATACAGTATTTAACATCAAATGTTCGCAACCTGAAAGAAGAAAACATTTACATAATGAGAAAATGTGGCAATACGATAACGCCATATTTTATGTGCAAAATCTATACATAACAAGAGCGAGAAACAAGCGTAAAACGATCTCTTCGTTCTCGGATAATGAACTAAAAATTTCCTCTTCTGCGTCTCCCTCCTGTTTTTTACATTTACTCAATCTCAGCGATATGTCTCTTCTCTATACTATCAAAAATCGTACAATCCTAAAAGTATTTGCATCTTGAAGATAACAAACTCAATATCAGGATTATCTTTGAGAACAAGCATACGCAAACATGAAGTTGAATTCAATCCTTGTCACAATCAACCATTAACTTTCGGTTCATGAATATGCTCCACAAGTATGAATTCTTTATAACAATAAAAACTTAACTGTCAGAGTAAGTTTAGATTGCACGCAACTCCTCAGTTAACAAAATATTAAAGTATCCTCATCGGCGTTAATGCAATTCCCAAAGATCGCAAAGACTTAAAGACAAATTCTCCGGTCTTGCAATTTTATATCGAAAAATACATAAATTCTACGTTATACTGCGACAAGTATCACGACGGTTATTATACGTATACATCTCATAATAACGTATTTTCTCCATTCACTCTTATTTTAGCACCAAAGAGCACACTATCTGGCAAAATCGCCTTAACACGCGGTGTTACTATTTTCCAACTATATACATTTATACGCCATAACTGTTCATTGAAAAAAGCGAGAATGATGTGTCAAAATAGTAATTCGTTACAGAGAGTGATAGTTTTACATTTACCATATATCTCAGAAAAGTTATAAAAAATAAGCAATAAATAATTGGAGATTATCAAAACAGAATATTATATTATTATCCAGCATTGTTTATCATTTGTTATTATTTTGTAATTTGAGATCGTACCATTATTCAAATTTCTCAGAAATAATCTATGATAAAAAAATTATAATATTATATAGTTATATAATAAAATGGAATTATATATACAGGGTGTCTCAGAACTTTGGGACACGGGCTCCGTAGGGACATAGAGCTATGTGAGAGGAACAAAAAAGTCCTCTACCATAATGTGAAAATCGTAATAGTTTTTTAATTATAACAGCGCAAAGTTTCTATAGGCCGCGCTGGGCGTTTCCCACGCCCAGCGCGGCCTATAGACGCACCGCGGCAAGCTGTGTGCGTAGGGACTGAGCGATAACGCGTCTCGCGCTGACCGTCGCGATGGCGTCTTAGCGTTTTGACGCCGCGCGACGGTCAGCGCGAGACGCGTTATCGCTCAGCCCCTACGCACACAGCTTGCCGCGGAGCGTCCATAGGCCGCGCTGGGCGTGGAAAACGCCTAACTTTGCGCTGTTATAATTAAAAAACTATTATCGATATAACGATTTTCACATTATGGCACAGAACATTTTGTTCCTCTCACTTAGCTTTATATCCCTACGGAGTCCGTCTCCCAAAGTTCTGAGATACCCTGTATAATATTATGCCTAAATACGTTGTTCTCTTTATATATGTGTGTATATGATGTTTTCTTCCTCAAGAGAATTACATCGTAAAATATAGATATTTTAAAAATAATATCTGGGTATTACACTCATAATATTTTATGTTATTGATTAAGTCTATCATAAACAATAGCAGAATATCTTCAAGTATTATTTCGCAAGATAACACTGACGATCTCTCTCCCTCTCTATAACAATTTTTAATTTATTATCTACCGCTTTTAACTTTACCAAAACACAAACGTAAAACCATCACAGTAACGAATTACTATTGATATATTGCTGTAGCTTCTTCTAACAATCAACAATAATGATGCACAAATGTCCTGAAACAATTTTTAGTATTAGATTAAGAAACAATCACACGTGATGTAATAACGTAATTACGCCGGTTAGCGCATGTCAGAGAATTTCGCGCGGGTAATCTTTTTCGCGACGAGTAATGTCCGAAAAGCACGCACTTTCAAAGAATGAATGATGAGTCGCGGCAAAATGTTCGCTCGTTCGCACACAAATCTAAGTCAAAAATCCTCCTCTTCTATCAAAGTCTAAATACAGATATCAAAAGGTACGGCCGTGACGGCCGAGCAAGATAAATATACATAGCAAAATTTCTCAGGGAAAAATTCTGTCAAAAAGGATCTATCGTGATCAATAGCGATAATCATTAGTTATCTCAATGTCGATCAACAAGCTCTCGCGATAAGCTCTCGCATTTACGCGGTTTGTTTTTGCCATCGAAGGGGAATCGCAGCTGCGTCACACTTGTTCCTCCCTCATCCCAGCAATCGAGATCCGTTTCTCTCCGACATATTGAATCATGTTTACCTAATAAACATGCTCAATATTGTCGTGTGATAACGAGCGCGATTGGCACTTTAATGACCCCTTGGCTCCTTGGAAGATCCATCGAGACCTGGCGCGCGCAATCTACGTACGGCAGTGGTGAGAATCACGATTCGCGCTTACGCAAATCGCAAGAAAAATATGATATTGTCTGAACAATCTATCCACAGATTTACATTTTATAAGAATTCGTTGGTCAATGTGAATGATGATATCGAAACATTTTCAGTCTTACATTCTCAGAGCGGAGAAGCAACGCGTGTGTCGGTATAACGCGCATCGAAACTTTCTTTTTTCTCAGAATAAGCTTCTTTTATGTGTATGTGCTTTTCTTTTTTTCTAAATACTATCTGATATTTCGATTTTGAAGACTCGCAAATGCGAAATATTATCATTAGACGTGCTTAAATTTCATTATCCTTAAATATGTTATAAGCGATTGGTCATTTGATCATTTCTATATATCGTTTCTCGCGTGCTATCCTCGCATGAGTTTCTTCTTGCGGCATCGCCGATCAAATTATACATAAGAAAATGAATGAGTAGGAATTCAGAGCTCGAAACGTTTCTTCCTCTCGGCGACCATGCCGACAGCGGGTAGAGGAGGATGAAGTGGATGATGGTAACTTGGTGTGGGTGTCGAAGGCAAGCTGCGGCAGCTTCTGCTGGACCACCTCACTGGTGGAGACCTCATCAACTCTGTAACGCACAAACGCGCGATGATTATTAATCTGACACCACCATGATCTATCGCGAGGAACGGTCGAAGTCAGGCGAACGGGAATTACAAATCTATTCGCATAGAGGTGCGCGCAGAACAACGCAAGAAACTGAAGCACACAGAGATATGTACAAAAGTAAAAGAAAACACACGTCGGATGTAAAAGCAGCTAAGTGGAGGAACGCGTGAACAGAATAACACGCTCGTCTAAAGTTGCGAGACACACGTTAAGCGCCGACACAAGGCCAACGGACCTGCAACGGCGAGAGCTGAGGGTTCCGGGGTGAGGCGGGATGTGTGACGAGCGTCGGTACGGATGGTATATGCCTCCGGGAGCTGTTGCTGCTGCTGTTGTTGCTGCTGTTGGTTATAGGGGTGGTGCTGCTGCTGCTTCTCATTCTGCTTGCTCTCCTGCCACCGGCCACAAGCGCCGCCGACTCGCATCTCTGTTGTGCCACCTTACATTCCAAATCATAGCCGAAGCACTGTTACGCTCCTCTGTATGCACATCGCCATATCATGTTGTTCGCGATATATCTCCGCGAGTTTCTCTTTCCATGCGAAGACAATGTCGTTGAAAGAAGAAAAAGAAAAGAAGACTACTCGCTGTACAATAGTACTTTCTAACTCGATGGACATTAATCGATTGAAATTTTCGTGGATTAAAATGTTAATAAATTAAGAATAAAGAAATCATGATCATGTATAACGACTGTTTCAATTAATGTTACTTTGATCTCATTTATTATATCGTTAATTATGTAATTAGTTAATTAGTTAATCATGCATTTTATCATCGATTAAATTGTTCACAATTACATATATGATGATTCATTAGTTTTGTCTATTGACTTGCCAATTATTTTAGTCGACTAAGATTTTAGTCGACTAAGATTTTTCAAACGATTAATGTCCAACACTGTTTGATATCTGGCATATAATGATATCTAAACACCTAACGTCTTTGATTATCATGTTATCGATTGTTACATTTTCCTCGTAACTTCTTTTCATTTTCTTTAGACGTAATCTAAATTCTTGCCTTACGAATTTTTTCTTCGAATGTCTTAAGACGATAAAAAAATTGAATTTTGATTTTAATGTGTTAATTTGATTTTGAAGTCAGCCTGTGCTTATTTCGAACAATGTGAAGCCACATTGTTCGAAATAATCGCTGTCAGTATTTGTCAACGCGTATTGCGATTTTTCTTAATCGGAAATGCGCTAGTGACTGGATTTGAAATTGGCAAGAGAGTGACACTCATTTAAAATGGATGAAAAACATAGAGCTATTCTCGAAAACTCTGACATGCAAACATTTTTCACCTGCACATTCCCCAGACAGTTACATATATTATGTTAGCTAATTAGTTATATCTAGAGATTAAACATCCGTAGTGTATAGCGTTACATTCATGTAAGGCAGGGTTACTTTACATACTGCATATTGCTCGTATACAACTTGTGTTAAACAAGTAACCAGCGTTAGATAAGCATTACGCACAATAATCCTATGTAATATTTTGACATAAAGTTACAGGCACGCTTTTTGATATTAGAACGTTACATATACATTATGTATGTGTACATGTCCAAGTAGAAAATAAAATTACGATGACATCAAAATGACAAGAAAATGACCGAATCATGACGAAAAAATTAATTTTCCTCATCATCTTGACGTCATTTTGACGTCATCATGATTTTTTATTTTGCCTGGGTGTATGTACCCTTCTATTAGATATCGATACAATTAATATAACGAATTAAAGCTAAGAATCCAGTAAACATGCCAACTAACGATGACATTATATCGATGTCACAATCTCTCGCTTAACAACCTAACTGTTACATACAACAAATGTGTTAATTACATTCACACCGATAAGAAATTACAATATCGATACAACGTTATTGTCAATTGATGATTATTAGAAATTCGCCGTACTATCGCCCACTATCGATCCTTATTTACGACCATTAAGTCGTCTTCTAAAATAAACTGAAAATATTGATAGTGCTATTGCTGAAATCAATATACTTTAGTCATTCCGAAACTAATAGTAGACAGTAATAATAATAAAAATCAGAATGCATTTCCAGTACAATATAGTAATTTAAGTGACATAATTTAGGCAATAAAATTCTCTTAATGGCCTTCTACAATAAACCGTTAGTCGTAAGACGTAAGTAAATTGACCAACCATAGTCGATAATTTTTCGGAAGCCTGTTAGATATTTACTAATGACTGCCAGACGAAGTGATATAAGCCAGAGCTCGGCAAAATCTGCATTCTTTGCCCGATTTTCAACTTGCTCCGTCTACCGCTATTCCTCTAACGTTTTTCCCCGCGCGAGGCTCAGTAACATACGAAAAAGCGTGAAAAAGAAGAAAAACGCATCAACAATAGTACCTCATAGATAACATGAAAAGCTATTGGAAATAAGTTCACATCGTAACATACATATTGATCGTTATTTCGCGCGGGGGAAGACGTAAGAGAAATAACGGTAAACAGAGTGAGCTGAAAATCGGGGGAAATGTGCAAATTTTGCCGAGCTCTGATATAAGCTATTTAAAAAAAAAAAGCATTTAAAAGTTAAATTACGGTGATTTTAAGACCATACATAAAAATAATGTAGCGAATGTCATAGCTTTCTTCTCAGGTGAAGAATTTAGTCAATGTTGCTCGAAGAAATCGACATAGCCGCCATATGCATTTCTGAACTTTACTTCGGGAGTATGTACAGTCACAAGCATTAATTCACGCCGCGAGATGAAAAACGATGTTCCTCCATTCTGGCCGTCATTCTCCGCCAGTTGTCGGAAGCCGGTCGAGTACAACGCAAAATGTAAACAAATACAATGTAAACAATGTAAACAAATACAATGTAAACAAATACAAATCAGCAGCATGCCAGTCTGTTAGTACAAATTTCTTTACAATGTTTCTGAAAACCGGCGTGAGAGTTATGTTGAAGTTTGCATTTTACGTTAGATCCGATAGACCTCCGACAGCTGGCGGAGAATGACGACCAGAGTGGGGGAATAACACTTCTCTTCTCGCAGCGTGAATTAATATGCGTTATTGTACAGAATCAGTTGGAAGTCAGTAATTCTCTAGAATCTACTTTCGTTAAAAGAGTAGTAATTATTACTCTCTTACAGTACAATGAAAATAATCTCAGAATACGAAAAAAGTACTGTCAACGCTTTCAGTGTATTTTCGAAGACAACTTTAATGCCGCAACAGTATCGTCATATGACGAAGAGACGGCTGAAGTTGACAACGCGAAAAGAACAAGCTCTCTCCCTACGAATACACTACGAAGCACAATCGTCAAGATTCATCGTAAATATTGCACAGCTGCTGCTTGCGCGCTTGTCAGTCACGCAGCGTAGAGATCGATTCGCGGTCTTTACCACGTTAGTACAGCGATACATTGCAAATGTTAATATCTCAAAGCGTTGTTAATTTTCATTAAAAAAGTACGCGTGTTAGTCTCGTATTCTTCCTCTCTTGCCCGCGCCGAAAGCCAACAATCACAATTGACATCGAAGCCTCACCTCAATCTTCTTGTATTCAGCAGCTATTTCTCTCTCTCTCTCTCTCTCTCTCTCTCTCTCTCTCTCTCTCTCTCTCTCTCTCTCTCTCTCTCTCTCTCATGCTTTACTATTTTTTTCCTTATATCATATTGGAAAACAAGTTTCGTTTCGGTAACATGCGAAAGGTATCTCCGAATAAAAATCCCTCTTGTTTAAACAAACCCACACTATCAATCGCAGGACAACGACGCATCGCAACCTGCAATCCGCCGGCGAACGCGATAATTTACAAAAGCACCGTTTCCTCTTTTAACTTCTCTCGAAACTGACAACAACCCCATGCCGCAGATTTTTTTCATTCTCTCCCTCTCTCTCTCTCTCTCTCTCTCTCTCTCTCTCTCTCTCTCTCTCTTCTCCTCTTTCGCTCAACACACTCAACGTTCACCTCTCTTCTGTACCTTGATACTGATGAGGCAGTCCGCTCCTCGGTCTCAAGCTGTCCCACAATGGCGAGCCCAGGCCGTTACGCTCCTGACCCTTTTGCTCTAAGCTCGCCGAGTCTTTCTCGTCGTGCGACGGCACGCCAGAACTAACAACCGGTCTAGCCAGACTACTCGTGTACGGCAAGGAGACGGATTTAACGCGCTCGAGCTTGTATGAGAACGCGCCCGGTCGATCCGTCTGCGAGAGCGATCGCTTTTGTAAAGTTGCGAACATGGAGGAGCCTTTCGAACTTCGCTCACTCGTTATTCTTTGTTCGCTGCTACCGTCGCCGCCGCCGCTGCTGGCGCCAACGACGGCGACGCTGCTCGTCCGGGCGACCGGCGATTCTTGATTACTCCTGACGCGCTGCGGGGAATAGGTCGGCGAGTAGTCTAGCGACGGAGCTTTCGACGACACATCGGACGATTCACGAGAGGTGTCCCCATGCTGTTAGTGAGAAATATTGAAAATATATGCGTCAATGCGGCTATGGTGGGCTGGGGACGAATCGCTTGACTAAGTGCGAGAGGTTCTCGGATTTGTCTCGGGTGTACTTGAAAAACGGGAAATTCTCAAAGGAATATCTCAAATATACCGGAATTCACGAGGAAGTCTCCGTCCTCGGCTGTCTCGTTGTGAGAACATGAATACTCAAAGTCACGACTTGCTGAGCTTGTTTGGTTCCAAGGAACTAGCTGAAGCTAGTCGAACTTTCATGTATTCGAATCGTTTAAAAATTTCAAGAGACAAGAGATTCGAACGTCCATCATTAAGTGCGGGGCGGAAGGATGGTTAAACGCTATATCAAGTCGCTGCTGTTCGCTGAGTTACAATTATGGTATTTGCGACAGCCGTGAACACGAGTGATCGGTTCACCGAGACGAACTGATATATATGTATATACAGGCCAATTTACGAGTTCGAACGGGCGAATACCAACCCGGTTACGGCGACCGAAGGTGAGGGGAAGGAAGATAGTTAATGAAAAGCGCAGGATAAAAATCCTTCTTACTCGAGCAACCGAGGTGCTGACGAATCGACAGTCAGGACCTCGTCATCGAAGCGTGACAAGCTCGCCAGGCAAAACACCATAATATGTAATTGCGGCGGTTAATCTCATCCTCAGCAATATATGTTATTAAACACATCTACTTGGCTGCGAGCCTGTCTTCTGACCGAGGGGCACTCGTACCTTCAGTTGTTGTTGCAGTCGATGCATTTCCTCCCGCGGCTCAGCAAGCTCGTTATCTCGGCCCCGTAAAATCTGCATCGTATCGTTGATACTGCCGTCATTCGTTTCCAACACCAGATGCGCCCTTAACTGCTTGTTCCTCGCGTCCAATTGCATAATATGCTGCTGTGCTTGGGCGAGCTGCTTCGACAGGTTGCCTACCTTCTCTTCCAGCGCAGCGGACTCTACGCACTTGGACGAATACTTCGCAGACAGAGAGAGAATCTCCTGCTTTATTTCCTCCATTTCCTCTCTGAAAAGAAAGCAGTATACATCAGTATATGATATATAAAAATAATAAAAAATGAAAGATTTTTTAAATATTTATTAATATACAAAAAACAAGGAAAAAGTATATAAAAGATACATATATAGCATAAGAATATTAAAATATATAAATATAAAATAATAGAGATATAAAATGAAAAAAGAATAAAAATAAAATAATATAAACAAAAGTATATACAAAGACAATATATGAAAAGCATAAAAAGTGAATATAAATAAAGATAATATAATAAATATATCAGAATATACAGAAATGTATTCATTTCAATGGCAAAACTCGCTATGGTCGAGCTGAAAGCTTTGCTTTACGCACTCATGTTCTTTGTGAAGTACTCCAATGTCCTCGCGTGCTTGCATTTGCTTAATGAACTCCTGCTTAAATTTGGCGATTTCTTTCTGCACCTCGTGTTCATGTGCCTTCCTCATGGCATCCAACGCAGCCAGAGTGGCTTGCGTTTCCTCAGAGAGCGCCTGTTCCTTCTCCACTCTCAGACTCTCCAGCTCTTGCCGATGCTTTTCCTCCATCTCGGCGATGATACGTCTGTGAGAATTCTCCATCGCTAACAGACCTTTCTCGCATAACGCGCGCAACTGTTTGATTTCCTCTTTGTACCTCTTCCGGGTCTCAGCGTCTGTATCCAATTCGGCGCTTATTGATCGCTGATAAGCTGCCCTTAGCTCATTTACGTGAGCCGAGTGTTCAGAATCCATTGTGTTGAGACGGTGCTCTAGCTTTCTGGCTCGCTCGCGCAAACTGGCCGCCTCCTGTTCATACTGCGACGTGAGGGATTGCCGTTGACTGTCCAGCTCGCCTTTGATGTCCATTAGATCCTTCTCCTGATTGCGTTTTAGCGTCTCCAACTCCTGATTGTGTTCAGCGGTTATCTTCTGAATAGTATCCTGCAGTTGGTTGCACGTCTGACACGAGACGCTGTTCATGTAGTCGCTCAACTTCCTTATTTGCTCTCGCAGATGCAAACATTTGTCACATACACTGGACCAGTCCGTGACAGCGCCGGTCGACTTGGACCAAACGACACCATCAACGCTTCCACCCGCCACTTTGTTCCTAATACACTTGTTGAGCCCGGCCAGATCTTCCTCTAAGTGAAATAACGACTGGCTGACACTCTTCAACTGTTCCTTCGACTCTCGTTTGCCAGTGATCCTTTCCTCACATTCCTTTACCAGCCGCTGGTAAAGGTAACTGTACTCCGCATCAAGGATCGGATTGCTTTGAAGATCGCATCCCTCGTCTGTCAGGCAGGCGAGCATGTCCTCGTTTCGAATAAGACTAGATACAAAGGTCTCCCCGAGGAATGTCGTGGGTGGTTGCCGCGTAATATTTTGAAGAAGTGCGATTCTCGAGTCTATTAAAGCTTTGTGCGCGATTACGTCGGCATAATCAGTCAACAATTGCCGCGACTCATACTTGGCATCGATCGCCAATTTGTTCTTCTTCATCGCACGAAGACATTCCTCATAAGCCTCCGAGAGCTCATGTATAGTGACCTCCATTTCTTGGCGTAGTCGCACCTGCGCTGCATCCACCCACAACTCCAACCTGACGTGATCCGCACTGTCGAAGCTGAGGCAAGTGTCGACAATCGATGTGACGTTCTGTTCGTACAGCTGACCGTAATGCATGATCACGTGCGACACTTCAGCCTGCACGAGCTCCTTGCTCACTGTCTCTTGTGCCAGAGCCCAAGCCTCGCGAATATGTTTGTCTTCAAGCAGCTTTTTATTCGAGCCGCTAATCTGCTTGCCAAGATCCTCTTGTTCAGAGAGACTCAATGTTTCTGCGGCCAACGCTTCCGCGAGCTGTCGTAACTTCGTGTCTTTGTACTTTCGCATTATCTCGTTCACCTCCCGCTGCTTCTGCAGCAGGAAGTTGAGACTCTCGCTGCGAGCCACGCTCACCTCCTTCGACGTATCGGTCGCACCGGCGTGCCCTATCAATACTAACTTATTCGCTAACACCTTAGTGAGATACTGTATATAATTCGTATTTTGGTATGTTTTGGGCTTAGTTCCGTGGATCTTACGTTTTAAGCTTGAGGCAAGCTGACTAGTTTCGACCAATTCACTGAGAACGGCGCTCCTATCCGTGGTGCGGTTCAGCGCGCACTTGATTTGTCTGAGAATCACGGACTCGAAAGCCACCCTCTCGGCGACGAGCTTCATCTTCTCCCGCTCATCTAGCCGGCCTTCTTGCGCCAGCACCTGCCGTTTCTTCGTGAGTTCGCTCAGTTTCTCTTTAAGTGTAGTTTCTAGCCTAGATACTGCTACTCCTACTGACTCGGTGACTTGAGCGCCGGCTTGGTTCTTCTTACATTCTAAACACGAGTCCAATATGTCATTTACTTCACGTAAACACTTCTCCGCCTTGTCTTCCGCCTGCGTCGAACCGAGGCACTTCTCCAAGCGTCGTTTCGACTTAGCGATCACTCGCTCGAGCTTCTTCAACCTCGCCAACAATTCCAGCGATATCTCTGAGCAGCCGCTAATCTCGCTGCACTCGCTCGAGTCCTTCTCCGCGTCGCTGGCCATAGCCTCAGAGACGTTCGCTACTTTCGTCTCCAAAGTGCTTAGTCTGATGAGCACTTTCATCGGTTCAGAGCTTGTCGCGCTATCCAACGACTTCCTACGTAGTCTCGTTCGATCTAAGTTTTTACTGTCTCTTCTCTTCTCCTTCTTTAGATTCGGGCTCGATTCCTTTGAACTGCTGCCCGCAGAGACAGGAGCACTGACGCTCTTGCCCCGCTCTATAGCGCAGATTTTGTTTTCCAGATCCAGCAATTTGTCCTCTACTTCCTGAGAAATCTGGAAAGATTCTCTTCCTTTGAGGGAAAGTGACCTCCTCTTGTCTCTAGTCTCAGCCTTTGTCAGTTTCTGCTTCAGTGTCCTGACTTGCTTCTCGCTGGCGGCCAGCTTATTGGTCAGATCCTGAATCCTTGCCGCCATTAATTGCGCTTGCGCCTGATTAGTTTCATTAACGCTAGCTGCGTCCTGCTTGTGAGCGAATATCTCCAACTCCAACACATCCTGTGTAGCATGAGCTTCTCGTAGCTCCTTCCTCATGGCTCGAATCTCCATGACAGCCTTCTCGAAGCGGCTTCGCAATTCATCGTACTCCTCCACGACTCTGGAACGGTAATGTCACGTCGTGTTTAAGAACAACGATTTTGCAACAGAAAGCTATTGTATTACGCAATTTTACCTCTCTTTGTCCAACACAGTCAAATCCAAGTCTAACTCGATATTGGTCAAGTCGCTGAGCGAATCGAAGCTTCTTCCACGTTCTCTCGAAACGGAAAGTCCATTCTTCTCCTCCAATTCCCTCACTCGATTGTAGAGACGTTCATTCTCCTCGATACCTAGTTTAGAAAAACATCCGTCGTCAATGATCTTATTCGAAACTTTGTTTTGAGTTTTTCAAGCTAAATATTAAATTAACCAAAATATTTATATAATTTGATTTGAATATAAAAATTTTATTCAACTTTGCACTCAAATTGTATTGAAATTTAATTTCAATAACGCAAATTAAAAATTGAATTAACATCGCACATGTGTGAGCAGAAAACATACTCACCCTGCGATAGTCTATCGCCGAGTCCCGCCATTTCCGCCTGCAAATGCTCGACGGTTCTGTGACTCGACGTGAGCTCGTTCGTGAGCATTTCACATCTTTCCGTCGTCTCTCGTAGGATAGCCTCTGTTTCCAGCAATTTGCATTCCAGTACTTCCTTCTCCCTGCTGTACACTTTCTTCATCTGCTCTAGATCTTCCAAGTCTTTGTTCCTCTGCTGCTCGGTCCTCTGTATCGTGTTCAACAACTCGTCCACCTGCTTCTCCCTGATGGATGCCTCCACCTTCTGCTGCCTAAGTCTGGCCAGTTCTTTCTCCGTATTCGCGACGTCCGTACGTGCTATGTTCAGCTGCGATTTCAGACTCTCGATTTCGTTCTCCTGACGCTCGACAATGACTAGTAGTGTGCTCGGGTGAGACTGATTCTGATCCAGCTGATCGTGCAGCAGCGAGACTCGATTCTCTAGGAGCTCGACGATCAAAGGACTGTCATTAGCGCTCGAAAGGCAGCTGTTGTCCTGCAAGTGGCCATTGCTCTGCTCCTCGTCCTCGCCGAGTTCGCAACAAGCTATCATCAGGTCCTCCGACCTCACGCTGTCCAAGGTGCTTCTCCTCGAACTAGGTGGCGAGCTACGGCTTCTCTTGTAGACTCGCGACCTAGAACTCGATCGAGATCTGGCTTTCACCCTGGACAACGCGGTTCTTGTTAGTGGCGGTGAGGGCGGCAGCTCGGACCACTCGTGATTTGCAGAGTCCGACCAGCCAGAACCTTTCAAGGTGATGGGCCAATCTCCGTTTCTCACGAGCGGCGGAGACACCGGCATCTCAGACCAATCGCCGGATTCTCGACGCCCACCCTCAGAAGCAGTCCTGTACTCCTCATCCGAGGAGAACAGCACCGATCTCGGTGTGATGGACGTTGAGGCTACGACGGAATCCCTCTCGCGGTCTGTGATAGATCTGAAACATAAATTAACATTTCTTACGAAACTCGAAAATCGCGACACCACTCAATCAGTTTTCGGGCTAGCGGTGGATAATTTCGATTCAAATTTAAAATTCGAAAAGCGCTAACGCGATGTTTGTCGAATTAATAAAAAATTTTGACTTTTAAAATAAATAAAAATGAATTTGTAAATAAAATAAGAATAAACTCTTTATAAAGAATTGCTTACTTGCAAATAAATAACTAATAACAAAAATAAATGATAAGTATGAAGTAATATGAATAAATCTCTTGACTTTATAATTCACGATTTCAATATGTTTTATGTTTGATCGTATTACTGTAAGATCTGAGTAAGTTACTTTGATAAAATATTTTTACTGGAGATCTTCAAGACTCGCAAGATAACACTTACGCAGTAGGAGACTGCGGATTGGCTTCTTGCTGAGTATCCGGGCATACGGCGAGGGAGTCTACGTTGTTGCTGTCAGGATCAGGCAAATTGGCCGCTCTTCTGATCGCCGACATCCAACTGGACCTGATGCCGGCGGTCACCGCAGAAAGAACAGTGCTGCCTCGGTCGTCCCAAGCCTATGTTCGTAAAAACAGCCAATCGTAAGTACGTATCGTACGAGCGAGACACAAATACGGCTATGAAATGTCGTGCGACTACACGCTTCGATTCGTGCGAGGTACGTGATGCCACGCTGCCCGTCGTCGGCAATCAATAGCATGAATGAGAAGCTCCACGAACAGTCGACTTATTCTACCGTGAAATTGAGTCAGTATTTTCTCTTGACCGCTCCCACTCCAAAGACGGAAGCTAATCCCGACCGTCCAATCGAAACTTAAGTCCTTCGCGAACGGTTGCAGCAGAAGTTATTGCTTGTATTTGCGCTAACTATTTTTCACTTGTTTTTAAGATTAGTACTAATGAAAATGTTCAGTGCTTCACAGTCTGGTTTTTCAAAAATTAAAAGAATTTATGTGTCTAATTTTCTGAAAAAACTTAAACAAATTAAAATTAAAATTAAATTATTCAGTGTCTCACAATCTGACTTATTTAAAGTTAAGAAAATTAAACTATGTCTCTGGTCTTCTAAAAAATTAAAAAACCATATAATTAAATCATATCAATAACACAAGCACACCAAAAAAAAGTTACTTGTTCGCTAGATTACACCACCATATACCTATATGTTTTCGGGATCGCTGAATCCGAATCCGTTGTCCGTTTTACCTCATCACGTCAGGTTTCGTCCCTAATCTCAAAAAATACCTCAGAATCGCTAAAATAGCGTTTTTGAAGCTGAACAATGAACAGTAGTTGTGAACAAAGGTTCTATGGAGTGGCTTTCTTTTATGTTTGATTCGAATCAAACGTAAAAGAAAGCCACTCCATAGATCTTTTGAGAGTAAAAGAGTTAAATATAATAGGAAAAAATGAATAGAGAATTGTGATATATTTAGAGTTGAAAAGGAATTCTAACCTGTTAAGATTGATTCGACTTCAAAATTCAAATTTAATATCCCCAAAAACATAAGTAGTCTATTATCTACAGATTTCAGTCGCCAGTGTTCACTGTTCAGGTTCAAAAACGCTATTTTAGTGATTCTAAGGTATTTTTTTAGGTTGGGAACGAAACCTGACGTGATGGGATAAAACGGACAACAGATTCGGATTTAGCGATCCCGAAAACATATAGATATGGTGGTGTAATCTAGCAAACAAGCAACTTTCTTTATTGGTGTGCCTATATAATTAAACCATATCTTTCTAAACGCCTCGAAAATTAAGAGAATTAAGTTCATATGTCATATTTTTAAAAAATAAAAAAAATTAAACCATATCTTCAAGTTTCTCAATTTCCAACTTTTTCGCTTCAACAATGAGGCTCGTTTCGAAACTTCGAAATAATGAAAATAATCAGATTGCGACACGTTGAGTCCTTCAGCTGAAGATAAAATTATATATTTCATCATCATATCATATCATTCACAATCATATATTTAAATTATATAAAATTATATGTTTCATTACTAACGCCATCACATTCTTAGTAGTCGATTATATTTTATACGAAACTGTTTTCCGAGAAGAGCGAAGAGGGATCTCTTCGTTTGCAAGATCATTATTAAACTTACAACAGTCTGGAATCCGTAATTCCTTGCGACCTGAAGTGGCATGACAGCGGTGACAGTATTCAGATCTATAACTCCATCCATGATGCCTTTGTCTTCCGCGCAGGGGTCCCTGTAGTACATCAATCCGCAGCCTCTCAAAACAAACCAGTGCTTGTTCCATTCCTAAACAAAAAACAGATTTAGTTGAGCCATCTCTCTGTCTCCTTTTTTTTCCATTCCTTCCCTTCTCTCTCTCTCTCTCTCTCTCTCTCTCTCTCTCTCTCTCTCTCTCTCTCTCTCTCTCACTCACACTTTTTCGAGCGAGCGAAATGAGACGCACCTTACTCAATCCTTGCTTCATCAGCCAGCCTTTCTTGATATTCAGCAAGTCTTCCGCTGGTAAATCGACTCTCAACTCGGAAGTAGGTGAATACCTGATGCCGGAAATGTCCAGACCGCAGCCGTCGGGATCGCCTCTGATCTGTGTACGAAATTCGTCACGTTATTTCCCTTTATCATTTCTATCATCCTTTCATATTTCTTTTCAAAGTAACGTCCATGCACGGAAGAAAAGATGTCAATTTATGGAACCAAATAGAGGCTGGGCGAGAATTAATCGGAATTTTTCTATTTTCTATTAAAAAGTTTCGATGAAGCGAAATAAATAATACAAATCAAATAATGTTCTCACGAGATGTTTTTATAAACATATTTCTCCGCCAAGTGACGACAAACCGGAATTAACTGCCATCATTCGCCATCATATATAGCTACAAAGTTGGCGATATATTTTTATGTTTTCATTTCACGTACAAGCTTATCCTGATGAGCGGCATTCGCCGCGTCTACGACATCCCTGGTCGGCTCCGAGGTCCTCGGCTTAATCCTCCTAGCTCGTGGTTGAGTTAACGAAGCCGCGATGTCCCGTAGTTTTCCTTCTCTTTCCCTCTCGTGCTCCAGAAGTATCCTTCGACATGCGTCATCGTCTGCATAATACATATACCTTTATCTTCATTTTCGGTGTCCCACGCACCCACCCATCCACCACCCAGCCAACCACTATTTTTTCTTGGCGAAAATATCGAAGTTAATATAATAGTGTTCTTGCAATTGCCTCAGTTTTCAACATTGCGCATCTTTAAGTCTAAAAATCACAATTTTATTCAAGCAAGCTCGAAACTAGCTGTATGTGAAACGCAGTTTTAATATCTATTTGATTACAAAATCTTAATTTTAATTGTTTTCCATTTTGTAATTCTATCTTAATTCCTTTTATTGTAATTCAAAGATAAGAAAAATTAATTAATTAAAATTAATTAGACTTCTCCAAATGGATCAAGAAATCTGTTATTAAAATATAAAATGACAAAAGCATTTTACATCTAAAAAATATCTAAATGTATAAAGAAGCGGGTTATTTCGTGTTTACGCGATACGTAACCGACACGTTAACCGTTACCATCGCCTCGAAATGAAGAATCATTTCCTCGTCACGCTATTTATTTTCGAAACAGCACGAAATACACTTATCTATCTCCATTTCAATTTCAATCAGCTCACGAATATGACAGTCAAGGTTTATGAATTATAATTGTGGCACTCATGAGTGTCCGTGGAGAGACGGCACAAAATTGTTGCGCGCGAATAAAATCATTGAACGGTCTTCCTCCAGCAGCGATATGTTCGTTGTTATGAAACATTCGTCCTAATATCATGGTCGGCGACTTAACTAATTAATTTCTTTTCCACTTAGTCCGTAGCGTCCAAGCACGTATCGACACTCGCACGGACAAACGACTGCTCCGCATTAATTGACTGCCGATTAATTATTAGGTATGTGAATTAATTCGGTCCATCTGGCGGTCTTGCTGTACTATATAATTTTCTAACCTCTAATATCTGCAAAAGGCTTTATTTTTTAGTTTTGATATTTGGCAATAATATTCAGTTGATAAACATTTGGATTTGTAACAACATCGTGTTTATCTGATTCAAAAATGTCGAAATTCAAGTCAAAAAAGCATCATTTCCGGGAAGTTCTCATTTTCTGTTTTCATTTGAAGAAAACAGCCGCTGAAGCTCGAATGCTCGTAGAAGCTTATGGTGAAAGTGCCCCTACCGATAAATCATGCAGAGAATGTTCGACGTTCAACACTCGACATTTCAAAAGTGATAATTTCAGTGTCGATGACAAACCTCGTCCAGATCAGCCGAAGAAGTTCGAGGACGAGAAATTGCAGGCGCTAATCGATGAAGATCCGTGTCAATCGCAACATGAGCTCGCGCAATTGTTGAATGTTGATCGATCAACAATTTTTATGTTTGGCAGCCATGGGAAAGATTTACAAAGAAGAAAGATGGGTGCCATACGATCTGAAAGAAAGAGACATCGAGAAGCGAAGAGCCATGTCTGAAATCTTGCTTGTCAGGCAAAAAGAAAAGGCTCTTTTGCATCATATTGTGACTGGAAACGAAAAGTGGATATATTTCGATAATCCCAAACGAAGGAAATCCATTAGCGACCCAGGAAAACCATCCACATCGATACCAAAGCGGAATATTCACGGCAAGAAAGTAATGCTCTGTACTATGTAGTATATGGTGGGTACTATGTAGTATATGTAGTATATGATGGAACCAGAAGGGTGTACAGGTTGCGTGAAAAGTTCGCGGAGCGGCATCTATAAGTAAACGGTAGAATTATAAATTGTAGTCGGTTATATAGAATCACTCTTCACATGAACCTAGGTTAGGTTTCATTTCCATCTGTCAATTCTTTCTGTATTTACAAGCCAATTGAAGTTGACATGTCAGTATATTTGTTTGCAATGGAAAATTTGACAGCGTGCAGTGATTGAGTTTTTTGTTAAAAAAGGTTTAAAGGCAATAGAAATTCATTCCGAGATGGTAAATGTGTTAGGGGAATCTGCTCCTTCAAAAACAATGGTTTGTAAATGGGCACTTGAGTTTCAACGTGGTCGTACAAGCATGTACTATCAAACAACTGAGTGAAATTTCAGTGGCATCCAGAATGGTATTGTCTGAAGGAGAAAGAATTACTTTATTGATGATGCGAGGATATAGTGACCGCGTTAGATCCTATGAACAAGTAGCTGTTTTATTTAACAATACTTATCCAGATCGTGAATCGAAGTCTACAGTCCAGAAAACAGTCAGACGATTTGATGAAACAAGATCCGTCAAGGACCAACAACGTACTGGCAGACTAAAATTAGCGACAAACTTGGATAAGAGTTTCGAAGTGATACAAACATTCGTCGAAAATCCTCATTATACTCTGAGAAAGACAGCACAGACGCATGAGATTAGTACAATATCCATTCATCGTATTTTAGTGAAAGAGAAATGACATCCTTTCAAAATTAAAATCACTCAGGAGCTATCGAAAGATGATTTTGATCGAAGAAATGAATTCTGCGACGAAATGATGTGTCGATAATACGATGATAATAATAACTTTTTCACATAATCTTTCACACAATCACATAATTTTTCCGACGAAGCTTCTTTTGAATTGAATAGAGCGCTAAATCAGTATAATTGTCGATATTGGAGTGATGAAAATTCTCATTGGATGCGTGATATCCGCATGTACACATCGCATGTGTAGTATCTCCAAAAACTTAACGTTTAGGTGGATTTTTGCGAACGTGATATTGTCGGACCATTTTTCATTAATGGGAATTTGAACGCGGCGATCTATCAGAAGCTATTGCAAAATGAAGTCATACCCGCTCTTGAAAATATGTTTGATGGGAACATAGAAAATATTTGATTCCAACAAGATGGTGCAGGCCCACACTATGCAGTAGCAGTACGGCAATTTTTGAATAATACTTTTCCAAATCGATGGATAGGAAGACATGGTCAAATAGAGTGGCCTGCTAGATCACCAGATCTTTCTCCTGTCGATTATATTTTTTGGGGATATTTTAAAAAAAATATATATGAAACAAAACCTGCCAACCTTGCGGATCTTAGGGAACGTATAATACACCAAGTCGATCTTATCTCGGCAGAGATAAGACGAAATGTTTTAAATATAAATAAGTTTTATCTACGGCTAGGTCATTGTCAAGTAGCAGACGGAGATCAATTTGAACATTTACTCAATTAAACCACACACCCTTACACACACACATACACGCACGCACTCACGCGCACACACACATACGCACACATAGCACAGAGGATTTGAAGTTATTAAATACTACGGGAGTGACGAACTGTGGGGTCTTTATCTCTGCTATGACATACACACACACACACACACACACATACACAAGAGGTGTAAATCCGATCGTGCAATCTCCATGCGGTATACCTTAGCTAATGCCGGCGGTATTGTAACTTTCAAGCACCATAACTCGGAAAATACTCAATGAAACATAACTTATTTATAGTATTTTGGAAAGCTCTCAAGATGAGCTACAAGAATATGCAATGAAAAATAGGGAGTTCTATTTAAAAAAACAAAGTTAAACTCCGTATGGCTTTGGAACGTTCACTCAAGGTCAATCCAATGACGCCATCTTATGTCCCCCCTCGAATCAAATAACTTTTGTCTGAAACATTTTTTTCTAAAATGTATAGTTTATGAAATATTCGACCGTTTCTAGACTTTTGGTATACCCTATATATATTAATATCCCTCTCTGCGCGCGTTTCGTTTCTTTTTCACCCAAGTCGAATATCGAAATGAAACATGTTGTCGTTATACTAATATAATAATTCTATCAGTGTAGAAAATTTCTGCTCTCGTTTAGAAGATTAGTCAAATTAGTTAAAAACTTAAAATAAAATTATAACGAGATAGTAAATTGCAGAAAAATAAAACAGAAATAAAATAAAATGATGACGAATAAGATCGCAATAGTGAAAGGCCAAATTAAATTTTCATTGTTTTTAACTAAATTGTCATTTAGTCATTTAAAAGAAAATATCACAATCCAATTATTTAGTTTACAGACTTCAGTTATTTAATTTATAAATGGAGTTTGATAATAAATAATAAATCGCAACGCTGAGTCAAATTAAAGTGCGATTTCGCAGGAATATCGCTGGCATTCTTGTAAATCTAAATTCCATATCAGAATTTTTTACCGCGACTGCGCGCCGCGGGAGAGCGTTAAAGAACTAATCGACGATCGTCGGCTCAAATCTCCAGCTGATCCTGACACTCGGATAACACGCGTGATTTCAATAATCCCACGTTTATCTAATTTAAGATTTACGTTTAACGTAAATCTTAAATTAGATAAAACAAGAGGGATTATATGACGGATTTTGTATTTTGTGATATTTTTCGCAGGGCGATTTCTAAAGAGCGCCCCGTCGTTCGTCCGGTATCGATCTAAATGAAATCTATGGATTGCTTATAAGCACAATACGGCGCGGTCGCAGATTTTCTTGGAGATTGTACGCACGCGATTACGCAATGCAAACAGGAGACGGCAATCAGCAATACTGCGCAAGAGCCATGTGGGACAAAAGTTGCCCAGAGAGAAAAAGAGAGGTGATAATTTGCTGTTTAAAAAGAAAATCCGGATGAGAAAAAGAAAATCATAACTGAAGCAATAATTTTTGCAATACCACTAGTAGACGTCAAATAAGTTTTAAGAGCAGCAGAAGGAGAAATTAATATCACTCAAACAAATCAATTTAATTCTCTCGCAACAGTTAGTTAGTTGTTTATAATTTATTCGCAAATCAACTTCGCGATGGGGCTTTGGATTAATTATTGGAAGAATAAAGAACCGTACTCTTGAACAGCTATTTTTTCTCAGCTAGAAATCGCGATTTTTGATCGTTTTCACTGGAAGTAGAGAAATTTCCTAAAATAGCACAAAAATGCACTCATTTTGCTCATAAATTTAACAAAATTGCACTCATTGTGCTCATAAATTTTCCGAAAAAGAAAGAGAAAGAGAAAGAGGAGTACTCAGTAGATTTTATTGTGTAAATGCAAAAGTTTTAATGAATTTCTCGAATACGCAGCGCTTGCAAATATGTAGATATATAATATATCAAAAATAATAGAAAATAATGACGATTACTTGATAGTATGAATAAATCGTTTTTAATAAAATTATTTAGCCTGTTTACTTACTTAGTAAAATTACTTAGTCTATTTTTCAATCATGAAATCTAAAAAAAATTAAAATTTTTGCGCTCACCCAATATTTAATACAGCATTCTACGCGATCCGTATAAAACGCGATTTCTCATCTTAGTCATCAGTTTTTTAATCTCATTACAATGTCTTTATCAAACGAATTTAAATAATCGCGAAATAATTCCGTGATAAAGACTCGAAATTAGAATTATATCGTATTAAAAATTCTGGAAAGTTGGAAATCGCCTACGCCAAAGTCTTTGCGGGTAACATCGCGCTAACTGCTATGTATCAATTACATCGAATAAAAATAAGTCAATTCCAAATCAATGCGTTAGTCGTTTCTTTCGCGGACTGCAAATCGTTGTCATTGAGAATGTAAAACGCAAACTGCGTGGCGACGTTGACTTGACCCAGTATTCTGTCGCGGCACGTATTTAAACTAGTTTCATGCGTCCATTAAGAGCAAGAGAAGAAAGAAAAAACTTTCGACGCTAATCCGCGGTGCGAGATGGTAAGACGTGTTATCCGCGAGTGTATTTTCGCACTTATGTTTCGTCGAGACACGGAAGTGAAACTGTATCCTTCGTGAATTCGTTTCTTTCGCTATCAATCCGTGTCTTCATTTCAGCGTAATCTCAACAACGCGATTCAAACGAAGCAATCCTAATGAAATGATCCGGACAAGTCGCGATCTCTCATCCGTATCATCAGTTTCTTAATCGTATTACAACGTTTTCATCGAACGAATTTAAGTAATCGCGGAATAACACCGTGGTGAAGAGTCGAAATTAAAAGTTATATCGTAGTAAAAATTCTGGCGTACTCAAAAGTTGGAAATTGCTTACTTCAAAGTTTCTGTTCACTATTTAATACTTCGGAAAACTTTTTGGTTACTAAAGAGAAAGTCTCAGAAAATTCAGAAATCATCGAATTGTGCACCGCGAATAACGTAATTAGATTTCAGATTTTTCAAAAATACAAAGAAATAACTAAACCTTATTGTTCGTGTTATACTTAAGAAAAAATCAAGCTTGAATTATAATATAAAATAATTACATTAAATAATTAAAAATAATGAAATTGATAATTGAAAATAAAGACTCTTATACATACAAAGTAATAAAGGATACGTATATACAATACATAAATAAATTACAAATGTCTATAATAGGCGTAGAGAGTGAGACCAATGTGTTGTACAAATAAAAATATTAAAAAAAAATTTGTATTTGCACATCAAAGTATCTTTACTTTCAATTTTCTAATTATATTAAAAATATAATCAAGGATCTTATTAGAGCCAAGCGTTATTTAATATTTTGCTGAATTAATTAAAATTATTATAATTACAGCAAGAATAATATTATTACTAATATTAATATTATTGATGGTATTATTATTACTGTAATTATTATTGTACTTATATGGTAAAAATTGCACGATTCTCTAATATATAATTCTTATAAAGTAATTCAAAATTATAATTCTTACAAAGTACTTCAAAATTATGTAATTGCGCAAATATAATTGGTGTAGTATAATTTAGTGTAAATATAATTTAACATTTACCTCACAGACCATGATTGCATTTTAAGATTTTAAAACCATAATTTTAATTTAAAAGTATAAATAAATGCACACACACACACACTCTCTCTCTCTCTCTCTCTCTCTCTCTCTCTCCCTCTCTCTCTCTCTCTCTCTCTGTCTCTCTCTCTCTCTCTGTCTCTCTCTCTCTCTCTCTCTCTCTCTCTCTCTCTCTCTCTCTCTCTGTCTGTCTCTCTCTCTCTCTCTCTCTCTCTGCCTCTCTCTGAACGATGCAGTCAGAGCACACGCAACGACCGCATCAGTCGTGGCTCGGAAGTCAACAGGGAGAAATTGTGTCTCATTGAATACCGACCTAGTTTCTCGCCGGAGGCTGCGTCGGTGTCACCGATGATGCCGCTCGTCCGCTCGTCCTGCTGCTGATTCATCCTGCGCCTGGCCTTGTCCTCGGCACGGAGCTTGTCCCGAGTTGGTGGTGACGCGCTGCTAGCAGGTTGGTCCCGATAGCTTGATCTGCCGTCGTTGGGGATCATCGGCGGCTTCTCGTTCAATGACCCGACGCTGCTGAGGACGACGCCCGACGAAGTAGCGCTCGTCGCCGTCGAGACGGTCGTCGTGGTCGTCGAGTAAACCGTGCTGCAAACGCCGCCGTTCGACATCAAGGACGACGTCGTCGTCGTCGTTGTCGTCGCCGTTATCGTTGATGACTGGCTGGTCGTCAGGTAGCTTCCGCCCGAGCCGTTTTCAAGTAGCGCGTTGGTGCTCAATAAAGGCAGCAAGTTGTTCCTCACCTCGGTGGCGTTCTGCGCATTGCCGTTCGTCAGCACGCTATTGTTGGCGGCTGTAACCACGCTGGTTGTCACCAGAGACGGCGTCGACGAGAACACGGACGAACACAACTCTGATGGGCCACTGCCGTTCTCGGGGATCCACGCGCTGCCGCGCGGCTCTGAACGGCAGCTGTTGAAACGCGGTCGCGGCGGATTTGGCGTGTTACCTGGTGAGCGAAGTAAAATTTCGTATCTCTGCGAACTACCGAAATCGACGAGTATCGTTTTTGCATCGCGGAAGCGGATTGTGAAATCGCACGGCTCAATTTTTGCGAGTGAAGTAGAGGAAAGTTTAATTACTTTTACTTTTTACCTGTCGAAAGTTATGACACCAAAGTTTAAGGTCCGACTTTTCGATTAAATTTATTACATTACTTAACATTATTGTCATCTTCATTATTACTATAGTTATTACTGTTGTTGTTGTTATTTTTATTGTTATTTTCAGAGTTGGGAAGTAACGCGTTACTTGTAACGCCGTTACTGGTATCGTTACTTTTTTGAGTAACGATTAGGTAACGCCGTTACTTTTTGGTGTCAGTAACGAAAAAGTAACGGCGATACATTTTTTTTGTAACGAGTAACAAAACGTCCGTTACTTTAATCGTTACTTTTTAATTTTTATAAAATTATACTTAATTGTATTTAATTTCTATGCATTTTTTGTTTTATGCTGGATTTAATGAGAACCAATAAAGATGGACTCACATATTGTCATCCATTGGCCGTAGCTATACAGAAAGGTTTAAAAGAAAGGTAAGTTGGTGTAATTTGGTTAATACCAACATATGTTCATCAAACAACATTCATCTGATCAAAAAGAAAAATCCATATGTTCATATTTAATTTTATTGATTTAACTTTAGGTTTTGTACTACACTCGAAAAAGAAGAATTGATAATTGCCAGCTGTTTGTATCCCAAATTGAGTTGGTTAGCTGAAGATAAGTGAAAACTTGCACAAACGTATTTAGAAGATTTATAAGGAATTCCTTCAATTAAAAATTTTTTGATGTCTGATAAGCACAATAATAACGATGACTTCTTTAATTTTAAATAGCAAACATCAAATGAGAAATCCGCCTATGATGAATGGCAAAGATTTTTAAAGTCAACAAGCACTAATGTCCAAATATTAAATTCATATCCACTAATTAAGAAACTTTTCATTAAATACAATATTTAATAACATAAAATAATAAAAATATTTATATATATATATATATTTCTAATCGTCTTATGTCCGATTTATATCTTGTCTTAGCATCTTTCTTATAATCCTGGATTTACAACAAAAAAAAGTAACGGAAAGTAACGAAATAAAATATCGTTACTTTCAAGTAACGGTAACGCGTTATTTTTTAAGATCAGTAACGAGTAACGGTAACGAGTTACTTTTTACCGAAAGTAATGGTAACGGTAACGAGTTACTTTTAAAAAGTAACTTTCCCAACCCTGGTTATTTTGTAACTATTGCACTCAATGAAGGCAAAATAATCATATAAAATTATAATCATATAAAATTCTTTGTCATTAGAAAAGGCACTCATCGTCAAATGATAATGAATATATATAATGAAAAAATTATCGATGTAAAATATTTGTCATATAAAAATATATATCGACCAAGTAACTGTCGTTGTTGCCTTTGATTCTTCACCATGGTTCTGCGGCGACATTACATATCTCCGAAAGAGCGGTCGGTTGTGCCGTAATAGACAGAAAATCGAGTCGAGCTTTTTAATTGACCAAGTAACTTGAACGGGACCTAAGTGTCGTTATTTTAAATGACTCCACTTTTGACCGGCATGATTTCCGTCAAAAACTACTACGAATAATTCAAACGAAGCCCAATCAAGCAAGAACGTTGATTTCAAATTGCGAACGTAATATTGAGTTAGAAAGAAAGTAATGTCATATTTCTTCAATATACACTGCTGAAAAGAATTATGACATACATAATTTATTGCCGAAAATTGGCCAACTTTGACTGGCGATTACTTCGCGAAAAATTATTGTAGATTAATGATTTTTTTTTTCAAAATGAAGCTTGAAGTCTCTACTTTAAGAATATATCTCCATTTTCTGTATGCGATGCACCCCTACTCCTGTAACCCCTGACATCTGAGGGCATGTTTGGTAATTGGAAATTGCAAAATTTGACGGAATGTACGGACGTGGACAATTTCTTCTTGGGGGCGCCGTTTGCATCGTCGTAAAGTTCAAATCTTTCTCTTCAATTTGAAAAAAAAAGTGGAGTCGCTATAATTTTTTTTCGTAAAGTTACAGTCCTTCAAAAGTACCGTTGTTTTTGACCTTCGGGCCAAGTACCGGCCGGCGGATTAAATGACTGGAAATCATAGTGGAGCAACGGCAAAAGTGTTTGTTGACATACGCACGTAAGCACGCGCGAATTTTTCAGCTCCTGGCTCGTGTTTTGACCATAGCCAACATTCCTAGCATCGGCAAATAACTCTCAAAAAACTCTCAAAAAACTCTCTCTGTATTCTCCACGGCTCCGTACGATATTTTTGAAGGGCTGTAACTTTGCGAAAAAAAATTGTAGCGACTCCATTTCGTTTTTCAAATTGAAGGGAAAGATTTGAACTTTACGACGATGCAAACGGCGCCCCCAAGAAGAAATTGTCCACGTCCGTACGTTTCGTCAAATTTTGCAATTTCCAATTACCAAACATGCCCTCAGATGTCAGGGGTTACAGGAGTAGGGGTGCATCGCATACAGAAAATGAAGATATATTCTTAAAGTAGAGACTTCAAGCTTCATTTTGAAAAAAAAATCATTAATCTACAATAATTTTTCGCGAAGTAATCGCCAGTCAAAGTTGGCCAATTTTCGGCAATAAATTATCTATGCCATAATTCTTTTGAGCAGTGTATATACAAGACTCTGTGTGCGTGTGTTGCTTTAATATTTCATTATACATAGAAAAAAATCCCAATCTATATGATATAAATGCATGTTAACGTTACAGTCGACATCTCATTTAGTATGTAGAAATCGTGTGTGCGTGTAGAAGTGTTTATGTTCACCTTAAATCGAAAGCAGTGGAGCAAGAGATAAGCTGTATTTTCTGTTTTACTTCCGAAAGAAAGAAAACCACGGTATAGGCGAAAAAGAAAATATATGTCATACGGAGAAGATATCGTAAACGAATGTATGTGTCAGAAATGGTTTGCAAAGTTTTATACCGATGATGCAACACTCGAAGATGAGGGACACTCTAATTGACTGGTTGTCGTTAATGCCGACAAAATCAAGACTTTAATCGAAAATAATTCGTAGTATATGACGCAAGAGAAATTATAGAAATGCTCCATTTATCACATCGTTATCGAGCAGTTACATAAGTTGGAATACGTGAATTGTTTGGACGTCTAGAGATGCTGCATGATTTGTCTGAAAAAATTTAATCGATTGCATTTTTACTTGCAACTTGTTAGTTGAACATAACGAAAGCGATCTATTTTTTAAACGGATTGTAACGGACGGAAAGAATGGGTAATCTACAATAACGAGATGCGCAAACGGTCCTGGAGAAAGTATCCAGGAAAACTGTTGACCACTCTAAAACCTGAGCTTCATCCAGAGAAAGTCATACTGTATATTTGGTGAGACTGGAAGGGTGTTGCGTATTATGAGTTCCTACTAAAGAACATACGATTTAATTCGGACAAGTACCGTGCCCAATTGGACAGACTGAAGGAAGTAATACTTAAAAATCACCTAGAACTGGCGAATTTGAACGATTGTTTTATCGCATCAGACGCCAGGCCTTATATTTCTTTGATAATTTAAAAGAAAATATTGCAACTCGGCTAGGATGTTCTACAACAAAATATTCACCAAACATTGCTTTGGATTATTATTTGTTTCGATTCTTGCAAAATTTCTTTAATAGTAAGGCATTCACTTCTCTGAAGGATTGCAGAAACCACCTTCAATAATTCTTCGCGGAGACAATGCCTAAGTTTCACGTGCAAGGAATTATGCAGCTACCGGAAAGATGACAAAAAGCTAGAGAAAACAACGGCCATTATTTTACCGATCGAAGCTGTTTTCATATATAAATAAACTTGCTCCAATATTTTGAACTAAAAATATTACATTACTTTCCTTCCAGCCCAATAATCGCGCACCCACGAGGAAGATGTGTTTGTCCCGCCTGATTATCCGTACTTATCTTCTTATTATAGCGTTGAACGAAAAGTAATGTCGGAATAAGTAATTGTGCAGAATCCAAACGTCATATCTGGAAATCGTACCAAGAAACTGATGCAACTAGTTTTCAACGCTGAATTTCGATACTCCTAATATTTCAACAATTTCTCATATACAGAGTGTCACAGACCACTTGTACTACCTGATGTTTTTGTAAACGCGACATTTTGGGGAAAAATATTTCAGACAAAAGTTGTATAGTTTCAAAGAAGACATAACAATTATATCATTTTGTTTACAGATAGCGCCACTTTCGAGATATTCACTAATCATTACTTTTTTTAAACAGAAATCCTAATTTTTTATTATATCATCTTTTTCTACGAATTAATTTTAATAATTTTTGTCTGAAACATTTTCTTATTTGCCTAATATTTTTTCAAATATTTAAGGAAAACTAATTTTTTCAATATTTAACTTACGATATCTCGCTAACTGTTTGTCGAGAAAATAGTGGTACTAGACTTTTTTACTCTACTTGGTCTCAAGAATATATTGTTACAATAAACGCCTTGACTTTTGTTAATTTGATGATTTTGAAATTTCCAAAGTCGATAAATTAATTATTAAAAGTTAGGGCACAATTGTAACAATATATTCTTGAGACCAAATAGAGTAAAAAAGTCTAGTACTATTTTTTCTTCCAACAAATAGTTAGCGAGATATCGTAAGTTAAATGTTAAAAAAGTTACCAAGTTTTCCTTAAATATCTCAAAAACTATTAGGCAAATAAAAAAATTGTTTCAGATAAAAGTTGTTAAAATTAATTAGTGGAAAAAGATGATATAATAAAAAACTGGAGTTTCCATTTAAAAAAAGTAATGATCAATGAGTATGTCGAAAGTGGCGCCATCTGCGAACAAACTGATATAGTTATTTTATGTCCCCTATGAATCCATACAACTTTTGTCTGAAGCATTTTTCCATACTTTTCGAGATATTTGCCCGGGGCATTAAAAAGTGGGACACCCTGTATAACATGGATTTCAACGAAACTGAAGATTTAATTGTTATCAATCTCGATAGGCTTGCCAGAACGTTTATCATCGGTAAACTATTAAAATCTTCATCATGAGACTTTTTGAATCATCTTTGAATCATTTTCTCATTCACAAAACCATCACCATGCACATCAGAAATCTATTTTGCTGTTTCTATCGCATTTTTATTTTTGCGAAAATAAGAGCATCGAATTGCACGAAAATATATTTTCTAATTGTTCATCTTCAAATATATCTTCGAGATAAGCATTAAAAGGATTTAATGAAATATAACGAACTACTTTTTTTTTAAATGACACGTTAAAATCTCAACTTTTAGACTATACATGCGTTTTTTACGCAGGTTACGAGTAATCTTTTGTTTTAAAAATCATTGCAAAAGCTATCTCTGTTACGGAAAAATCTGACATTACTTATTGACCAATCCAATGTTTATGTTTGTATTTTTGTCACGCTTGTATTCCATGCGATATTTCACGTGTACACTAGAGCTAAATTGTTGTACTGTTATATACGCACAACATACGTACACGCGCATCCGCATGTACCATTTTTCTCCTTGCTCTTCTCCCCTTTCTCTATCTTTCTCATTCTCGTTACTTTATTAAATTACTCGCGCTAATAAAAGAGCCCGTCCGTCTCTCGCTCGGAAAACCACGTTTTTCCAGAACTGTGAGAACTGTGAGAAACAGCCACGAATGAGGCACGGCAATTACGTTGTCATTAACTACTGACTGTGCCGCGCACGCGTGCAGTACAAGCGGTGTGTAATGCGTACCGCGAAATTTGCATAACACGCCAACGACACGGCACTTACTTCGAATCGTCGGTGTAACCTGCAGAATCGTCGTCTGTCCGCCGGGAAAGGTTGCGTTTCGCTTGTGCCGACCCTGAAAAATACCACCAGAGCACAGCGTGAAGAAGAGATCATTGAAGAAAAGGGTAGAACGACAAATGAAGGGTACATGGGAAGAGGGAAGGAGGGAAGGGATTGTGGAGAAGAATTTTCACGGATACTGTTAACGCGAAGTTAACGCGATCGATCGAACGGCCGCGCAACTGGCTAATCGATCGTGACATGCTACATGCGATCTGTGGAGCGATTTCGCGGATAATCGGTCGTTGCTTATTACCTATCCGCAGCCCCAGTCGTGAGAACAACGCGATTCGCGATCCAAGAACGCGAACGTGCGAACAACGTGGGGATACGAATGTACAAGTATCCCCGACGAGCTTAGGAATTTCAACATAGAATAGAACAGACAGCTGTAATTTACGTCTCGTCTTCTCGATTATGACTGTTTCAACAGCTTACGTGCTAAAAAGAATATGACTGCTTTTACTAAAATTATAGTCATTTTCTTCGGTGCATGTCATATTTTCTTATTGTTTTAACTTGTTTTTACGAGAAAATATCAGTAGCTCTCGCAGCAGTACTTACTGCAAAAATGATTGTCCTAACCATGTTAATAATTCACCATTGTGAAATTGTAACACACAAATATTTCTTTTCAATGTATGTTATTAGGAGGTGGAATTAGTTGTAGTTCCTAGCAATAGATGACTTTTGTAACAAGTTAATAGTTAGTACGAATGTTAAACTCTGGCAACACTGAAAGATTTGACATTTCTCTATGACATATGATACTTGTTATTGTTACCGATTGTTTCATTGTTTAAACGCGTCTAAAATGGATCGTACAAAATTGCATTTTCGGCATTCGTTACTTTCTTTGTTTGATTTGATTTCAAATCAAAAAAACATCAGCAACTGAAACTCATGAAATGCTTGTTACAACTTAAAGTGATCAAGCTCCATTGTAAATTCCAACTGTAAATTCAACGATTCAAAAGTGGTGATTTCAATTTGTACGAGCGACAAAAACGTACTGGTCAACCAAAAAGATTCGAAGATTCTGAATTGCGAACATTATTGAATGAAAACACCACTCAAACGGAAAAACAATCGGCTGAACAACTCAACGTCGATAGATCAATAATTTCTGAACGCCTACATGCCATAGGAAAAATTAAAATTAAAGACAAATGGGTTCCATATAAATTAAATGAAAATGCCATTGCAAATCACTTGAATCCAGGATAACCATCAACATCGACACCAAAACAAAACGAAATATTCACGGTCGCAAAGCAATGTTCTGTATTTTGATAAGATATGGAAGGTGTGGTGTACTACGAGCTTCTAAAACCGAATGAAACATGGGGAAGCAATGTCAGCAACAATTGAACAAACCGAATGATGAACTGATGCAAAAAAGGCCAGCGATAGCCAGCAATAGACGTAAAGTGATCTTTTTGCACGATAATGCTTGTCCACATATTGCTTCAATCGTTAAACAAACATTGTTAGAGCTCGAATGGGAAACTCTTCCGCACCCAGCGTACTCTCCAGACCTAACACCATCTGATTACCATCTATTCCGATCGATGCAACACGCTTTGACAGATAGTGCAAAAGTGGGTGTCTGATTGGATCGCTTCGAAAGACAGATCGTTCTACCGTCGTGGAATCGCTATGTTGCCAGAAAGATGAGAAAAGATCAGAACAGCTAAGAACGGAAAATATTTTGATTGGTGTAAATTTAACCATTTTAAAAAGATAAAGATAAAAAAATTGACAAAATAAGACCAGAATTAATACAGCCTCGTAATACATATGTTGTCCTAACTATTATTATTTAATTGTGAAATCAGCGTGCCAAATATCAAATACTTTCTTTCAATATATGTTGCATCTCTTGTAACGTTTACAAGCCATCTCGCGGTCTGACATGAACAAGCATTGCCTGACGTAGAAATGCGGGATCCAACTGTCAAATTCGAAATACAATAAGAAGATACAAACACGAGATGCCGAGGCGATTGAAATGACATTATCGAGACGTGCGCGAAGCGCGGCGTTCCTCAAGCAACGTTCGTTAATGCACACGCGTGATCTCGCCCTCGCATCTTTCGATTGAAAGCGCCCGCGAAGCGGGTTCGACCGCCGCCAATAGATTTCGTGTGGGACGTCGAGGTGTGTGCAGCCGATCCGAGTTCCCTCGCGCAGACAGCGTGGCGATTCGAAGGACGACGTCGTCGACGGAGGAGGCAAGGCGCGCTGCGCGGCGTGGCGCGGTCGGGAGGGAAGGGGGATAATTGCGGAAAAATGTGGAAAATAACACGAGAGCAGCGTTTCCTCCACGTTCACCGGGCTCTAAATGTCGCGGCACGTATGCTATCGCCTTGGCCCCGTAACGTAACGTAATCGTACGTTTACACCAGCAACAGCAGCAGCAGGTCCGCGACAACCGAGCCGGCCATTTGCCGATCGATCACTGGCTTGCGTAACGGAATCGACATGCACGTCTCGAATGCCGCGGTGCGAGGGCTGCTTCGCGTTTATCTGCGAACAATACTCCGTCCCGGGCCGGGCTATCCCGGACGATTCGCGTGGACGATCGATCGATCGACCGACCGATGAGCCGTGAGCGCGCGACGCGCAAACACTCTCCTCCATTCTGTGTTCTGAGGAGATAATTATCGAGGCGTTGCGAGATGCCTCGGATGCGCGAACGCGGCTGTATACATTATTGTATATGTGACCCGCGAAGAATGCTTTTTGTTTGAGGATTATACTTGTACAGTTGCAGGTTCTCAATGCCGCGCGAGGAACACAACAGTGACGCGTCGAATAATTTACGACGCGTTGTCTTCCTCCAAGCGATATGGGATTTATATATTTCGCAATTCCCGTCGCTGTTTCGCGACGACTTCCTCGACGGGACGGAGGATATCTCTCTTTCGTGGTTGTGATTTTGTCGATTAATTGGCTTGGACAAATGCACGTGTGTGTAATATCAATATATAGATTAGTATAACGGGTTGCCTGTCCCTGTCGGATAATAATGTACAGGTTGTCGAAAAAGTCACTCGTTGACTTTGTTGATAATGATGTTTGCATTGCTTCCAGTTATGACGAGTGTTAAGGAGATAAATAATGCAACATATTTTCTTGCTCCACATAATTTCTTAATTTGTTTTTTGCGTTGAAAAGTTCGATAGGAATTGGAGATTAGAAAGAACGGTATAGAAATATTTAGAAGTTTTATATACTATATTTATTTTACTTTATATATACTATATATACTATATTTATTATATTTTATTTATTATATTGTATACTATATTTTATTATATACTATAATCCATCCATGTTTCTACAAAAGATCGCTTTTGATCGATGACAAATCAAACCTTATTTTCGATAAAAGAGACGTCGAGATACAGGACTATGATGTACTGAAAATATGTCGTTTGAAAATTATCGTCGATTAAGTCGCAATCAATATTTATACTGCATTTCTGGTTGATTCATACTTTTGCAGAAACGATCTTGCGGCTCGACTTCTGTCATAAATGGTCTATAAACTGTCGTAACGATCACGGTGCAAAGTTAGTTGTACTAGTCCTAACTGGAAGCACTGCAAATATCATTATCAACAAAATCAACGAGTGACTTTTTCGTCAACTTCTGCATTATCATCCGAATAATGGACAGGCAACCCGTCATACTGACTTATATTATATGTTGATATTACACCCAGTACGACCCAGTGCCACGATGTAAACAAAGTGTCCGTAAAATATATACCAGACCAGGTGTTATAAATAAAAAATTGCGGATTAAAGACTGGAATTCGACGAAGCAGTTGTTTCTGAACTTGGCTCGCTTTGTCCTGAATGAATTAACTCGCAAATCTTCGATCCGAAATCTCCCAATTAAAGCAATTATTCGGATGTTCGAATGTCCGAGATCGGCTTCGGCAGGAAAGCTCAAAATTGCACTTTGGGTAATCCGGATTATTCGAACACAACTTCAGACTAGAATAAGAGATCCGGATTTTTCGTACTCACGTTTAATGACGTCGTTACGCAGCCGGAATATTTCATAGTTTTTAATGAGCTTTGTCTAACAACGACGAAATCATCTCAGAGAACGATACGGGCTTCAGAGATACGCGAGAGCTACTTTTGAGAAATGGAGTCTTCGAATTCCTCGTACGATTCCGACGCCGCAATGATCGTAGAAAAGACGTGATAGCTCGTGTTTTACGCCGTCGGGAGTATGAAATGAAGCGGTATTTCCGTTTGCCGATCGATCATTTCTTACGTAAGTCGCGCGGTCGGGCGCGCAACATGCCGTTATTGCAAAGTTACGAGCAATATAGCGAATGACAGCTCGATTGCGGCTCGATTCACGGCGGCTTGATTGATTGAAAGGCTCGCGAGACGGACACCTTCGTTCGCCTTCGATATGGTAGACAATCGAGAGAGACTAGACGCAATTACGCGTTCGGGCGGAGGCCGTCGACGCGGAGGGGCCAAGAACTACAGGGCCAGGCCCGAATTTCTTTCCAGCTGGATCACGGACTCGTACGTCTTGCATAAGCAAGTGCACACTTGCGATAAAAATGCTCATTCAAACGTCGATATGCGCCGCACTTAAATAAGTACGTTATACGAAAATTAAATAAAAATAAATTAAATTAAAAGAAATATGTACAATATCTAATTGTTAGAGATAGCATCGTTAGAGAGAGCTTACAGAAGTGCATCGGATCTTTTACCACATTTGCCAAATTAATGTATTAGGAGGTTGAACTAATTCTGGTCCCTAGCAAGGCCCTAGATGGCTTTAGTAACAAGTTACGTAGTGATTGGTACAAATGTTGAAATCGGACAACACCGAAAGATTTGACATTTCTCTGTGACATATGACAGTTTGCGCACTATTGTTACTGATAATTTCATTGTTTATACACGTTTAAAATGGATCGTACAAAATTGCATTTTCGACATTCATTACTTTTTCTGCTTGATTTGAAAA